GTGTGTGTGTGTGTGTGTGTGTGTGTGTGTGTGTGTGTGTGTGTGTGTGTGTGTGTGTGGGTGTGTGTATTGTATATATAATTATAAATGTGATTTTGGGGGGTCTGTGGGGAGGAGGGTTTAGGGCTGGGCATGTTGGATTGTTTTTAACTAAACTGTAAAGCACTTTGTGTTACACTTTTTGTATGAAAAGCGCTTTATAAATAAAATTTGATTGATTGATTGATTGAAGTGTCTTTAGCCACAGTTGCGTCGAAGTGTCACAAAATCTCTAAAAGAGTTATGTATAAAATTGTAACTTTCTTATGCCAATACCAAAATATTTGTTTTCGAACCCAATGCAACAACATAAAAAAATAATTAAATATCCTTTATAGATTAATAGATCTGCTTTTATTCAAACGTGTCATATTGTTACTTTTGTCTTCAGGATCTGCTCTGTTATCTCATTGATGATGGAGGCTTTCTGGTCATGTCTAATCAGAGAGACCATTGGAAAAAGGTATGTTTGTTTTGTATTTTTACAGAGTGCTCAATATATTCTGATACTTAACTTTGTTGTATTTGCTCTAACACAGATGGGGCTTTTCTTTGGAGAGGTGGACCCTTTTCTGATGTACGCTCTCTTCAACAACTCCATCTACTTCCGGAGGCAGTCCTTTCAGTATCAGTCTGCCTGCGAGCCCATCAGCAGCAGCCACACGGGGGCAGCACCGAGGCGATTCTTTGTGGTAAGAACATGGCTGTATCCCAATTCGTAAAGAAAACCTCCTTCCATCTCATTAATTTACTTGGGTGGCATGACATGATACCAGAGTAGCATTATTAAAAAAAATTAGAGAATATTGTTTGAATTCAATTGATTTTTCACAACATCGCAGTTTCCATTGTTTGTGCGCAATCTGTGTGAATCTATTTCAAGTTTATTAATGAGGGGAGACATTTCTAAAACCTTTATGGCAAGAAGCAAATTAGAAAAGTGGAGGTATTTTTATATATTTGGAAGTAGCCTTTAGCCACCGATCTGGTGTGACTTTACACCAGATCGGTGACTGACCTCCTGAAAGAATGCGGATCCTCTGAGTCTGTTGTCATGAACCCCTGTATACAACCCACATTCTATTGTTTAGAATGGAATATAAAATGAAAACAACAAAAATATCTTTGGAAGAATAATAGTGATAGTGATTATTACTAACTAACTAATAAGCCGTTTATTACAAAACAACTAGTTTTTAGTTTCTTTAATATGACATGGGGGCGACAGTGGCTCAGTTGGTAGAGAATTGGGTCTGAAGGTCGTGGTTGTGATACCCCCACGAGACCTATTCCAACTGCTCTCTCTCATGTCTGTTGTTGTGTCCTTGGGCAAGACACTTAACCCCACATTGCCCGAATCCCTGACAGACCCTGTCACCGTTGATGGAGCAGCCATCTTCCCGTTGACTCACCTCTTGCAGGAGGATCAGAGGGACTGGTGCTATGAGCATTGGGTACAGCTCTCATTGCCACCCCCCGACCCAGAAATGGACCAATAAAGGGGTTGAAAAGGAATGCATGAATGATATGACATGGTGGCCTGAAATCAGCTCTGATACATACAAATAAATGAAATTACTCTTTCAACATTAGATGGAGTCGCCAAATGGAATTCATAGTCAACTAAAACAGGCACCTGACGATCACTTGAATTAGTCTTAAATTCTTTAAAAAAAAAAGAAGGTCTAGGTAGGATGAGTTTTGTGTTTTTCGTAGAGAGATGATTTGTTGTTAATCTGTAAAAACAAGAGCAGGATAATGGATTCAACACAGCTAACTAGTTAATGAAATATATGCCAACTAGATAATAATGGAGTAATCAATTCTGGAACTGAACTGATAATATTCAGAATAAAGGCATGTACACACTGCTTGGCCTGGTTGACTTCAATGAGACCAATTCTAGTTCACTTGGGGATGAAATGTGGATGTAAACTCACCAAACAAGTCACTTAAGTCAGGCTTTTGATCACTAACCAGATGAAGGTTGTGGGTTCAATCCTGTGCCAACCTGGTCCTTTCTGTGTGGAGAAGGCTTTTTCCTCCCTTGTCCGGGTTAGTTTCCTCTGGGCGCTCCGGTTTCCCCGACCACCCAGAACAGGCCACAGTATGAATGTGGTGAGTGAGAGATGGTGGTGGTCGGAGCGGCCGATGACACAGAGCGGCTGCCTCACTTCTGTCACCTCTAAGTGTGGAGTGAATCAAATATAATAGTGACTTCAGAGCGGCACTTTGAGAGACTTCAACAGCCTTCTAAAGGCTTTACAAGTCTTAGGCCTTATTGTCACTGTTTTAGCTTTAATCAATACAGAATTCCCTGCTCGTTTGAAATCTCCCAGAATTCTGAAACTACTAGAACTTGCCAAGAGCCGTTGTTTTGACTGCCCCATTCAAACCAATAGAATTCTGAGAAATTCCCCAAAAAAGGGAGCCATGAAGACTAATGAGGATTAACAAACACCGTCGACCTGACCTCACATGTCATGAACCGGTGCAATATCTGGAACTTATGTCAGAATGTGCAATACTATAGAACAAGATGTCACTTTTCATGTCCAGATGTATACACACAACTATATATTACTTAAACTAGAAAATAAAGGATTTTACACTTGCTCCTTATCATGCTAAGTCAGGTTTTTTTTTAACTTGTATCATGCTAAAGATATTTTTTTCTTCTTTCCTTATTAGGCTTAAGACAGAGATCTTATACTTATTTATCATTTATCTTGTAGTGGTGATTCTTCAAACCAGAAATATACATATAATTATGCTTTCAAAACTCCAAGCCATCAAATTGACTGCTCTGGGAGTTCTGGTGTAAAAGAAAACAATTAGTTAACAATGATAAAATTGACAAAATGCTTGAAGTGAGTGTGGCTGACCAGACTGTTGTTGATCATGTCCTGTCTTTGCTCTTTCTGCCCCCGTCATAATTACTCATTTGTGAGTCTTTTCAGTCCATGTAGGTTTCATCATGTCCTCTTCTTTGCAGCCGTCGGTGGCAGACCTGCTGAGCCTGGCCTGGTGGACGTCCACATTGGCGTGGTGAGAGCACACACTGTTCTCGTCAACTATGTCCACAGCGTGTGCATGATTCAGGCTCCTGCTGCTCCTCTTTCATTTGTTGATATTTACAAATGCATTTTCTTCATTGCGATTCTTTGTTTATTTCAGGTCTGTGATGCAGCAGCTCTTATATGGACTGGCCTACCACAGCTGGCTTCATCACGGTAATGTCTGTGGTTCAAACACTCAAAAAGGCTCAGGTTTATTTCCAGTTTCAGACTTATTTGACTAGTTTTTACTCATAACTGCGTGTGTGCACCACCATCACTCACCATTCAAGATATTTGTTTGGCAAAACTTGGCCTGTCACAATAATTATCTTTGAAAGGAGTATATTAAAGAAATCTAATGCATGTTTTTTCTGTTAGTTAGTTGGTTAAAGATATATGGGAGGATTTTCTTCTTCCAGGTGGATCATCTAAACTATCGGTCCTCCTAATTGATAATCATTCTGGTGATTGGCAATCAGGAAATCATCCTATAAACCTTTAATTTATTTAGAAATGTATAGGACATTTTAACTAAAGCTAAGGAATGGATCAAGGAGCTATTATTACATTTTGGAGAGGATCTGGATAACTCATTGGATCCAGGAATTATTGAAGGAATGGAACTGTGCCTCTTGGTGGAGGTCTTCCAGTGCTTGTCTAGTTACAATTGACAAATATATACTATTTCATCTTACACATATCTGGCCCAATATTTTTCTATTTTATCCTCTTCATTAACAGATAATACATCTAGTAGTGGAGTTTCACATAAGTATTTTTTTCCTTTAAATCATTTGTTCAATTTAAGTTTATTATTTTCACAAAGGGATTAGAATTTTGCATCTAGATCGGATCTGTTTCCTAAAGTAATTTCAGATAGTTTAAAGTTGTGCACATGTAGAAACTCTAATTGTAAGTTGTCTTTTGCAGACGACTTGCTGGTGGATGGATTTGAGACGAAGGCCAGCAGCTGTGTGACCATCCAGAGCCAGTTCCACTTCACCAACACCACCAACATGTACAACGTGCTGCAGGACTGTGGCAACTGCTCCCGGTGCGTTTCAGGCTCTTTGGAAACACATCCCTGCATGCTCGCTGCTTTTAATGCAGTCTGTACTAGTGATGTCACCATTTTCTTTCTGTGGAAAAAAACCCCCAAAAGAATTTATTATTTTATTAATAATGATATATAATTATTCATATATTATGTATCAATTTATAATATCAGTTGTTGCCATCTCTGTCTGTGGTTGTTATTTTCAATAGCTTCTTAGCCCTCATCAATGTCATCTTTGACTGTGGGTCTTGAAGAATGTTGTCATTGTTTTGACTTTTTCCTTTTCCTTGATCTCTAATGAACAGGTTGATCCATGCCAAAAGAATAGAAAACACCAACCTGCTGTTCGTGGTGGCCGAGACCCTTCCCTGCACGTCATGTGAGATCGAGAGGTTAACGCAGGTCCGCACCGAGTGTATCCTTCAAACTCATTTATGTTTTGAGTAAAGTTTGATCCAGAGACCATTTCAAAGCCGTTTAGACACGTTCCCTAATGCAATATGAACAGTCCGCGAAGAAAATCCATGTGAAGTCCTGAGCAACGCACGCTATCGAAAAGGCCCCACGTCCTGCTTTGACTACAGTGCCTTAGTAAGTGCAAGAAAATGACACTCTGGCAATGCAAGTTTATTTGGATAGCACTGTTCATACATAAGGCAACGCAAGAGCTGAACAAAACAGGATAGAAACATTACAAGGCATTAAAATCATGAATAATCACAGTACATACGGAAAGGGAATAAAAAATCCCTCAGCTGTACGCAGCGCTAAACAGATTTGAACATTGTCCGATAAGAAGCCTGTCTCACATTTTCAGGAAGACTGTTCCAGATTTTAGCTGCATAAATCTGAATTGCTGCCCCCCCTCCATGTTTAGTTCTGACCCTGGGTACCAGCAGGAGGCCTGTCCCTACAATGTCTCACACCAGAAAAGCTGTCTCTCAGCGTGTCTTATATTTATGAAAGAGTAAATTAATCAGTGGCCCTGGTTATTTAAGTGAAAACATCACTGCTCTAGATGAGATCTGAATTGAGGAATGGGCCAAAATACCAGTCATTGCCATTAAAGGGTAAATAACAAAGTATTGAGATGGACTTTTGTTATTGACTAAATAAGTATTATCCGCCATAGTTACCAAAAACTTTCTTTAAAAATCCGATGTGATATATATATTTTTTCTCATTTTGTCACTCAAAGTTGAGGTACAGTATACCTTTGATGCAAATCATAAACTCATCTTTTTAAGTGGGGGGACTAAATACACTACAGAGCAGAATGAGAAATATTTTCTGTGGCCATGTTGAACACACTCATACTCACCAGTTCTCAAGAAAAAAGGTTCACCAGAGAACATGAAGGCAGCAGTTGACCATAAAGTACAGCTATATTACAACACAAGACATAACATATTTAAATGTAAAATTAAAATTAGACATGACTATTTAACTATCTTTAACTATCTCACACCAGTCTATGCAGTTTCTTCTCCCTTCTCCGATTCTTCCTCATGAATCCTCAAGAAAACTGTTGTTTTCCTGCTAAATATTATACATAAATCATTTTTTTCTTTTTTTTGCAGGAAAACACATCTGAGTGTGGGAGGGGCCATTTTCTGACACCCTGCTTAGAACTCCTGTTGTTTCAGCTCACTCTGCCTCTCTTCTATCTCAGACTATAAACAATCTGTCTTTCTAAACAAGGCTCCAATCTTCTCATCACTATTTTGGATTTAGATTTTTGAAGATCTTCATAGTCATTTTTCCTTTTTGCTTTTAAGTTGGAGAACACATGAGGTATAGTCTATGATGCTTGGTCCATTATCTCTCATAATTTTTAAGAACAATGTAGGCATGAAATGGAGTGAAGAATGGGGACCCACAAACAACAAATGTCATAATGTTGTGCACAGAATGGACTGCAGCCAAAAACTTTGATCAGTGATTTCCAGCTGTGCACCTGAGGACCACAAAACCTTTCTTCTACCTAGAGTATGAAAATAAAAATATTGCTGTTTCATGGTTGATTTATCAACAATCGTCCATTAAGTCTAGTCTGGAGGCTTCTTTTTAGGGTCCCCTGGGAACCTGGTTGGGGATCACTGCTCGAGCTGAATGGTGTAAGTGGGATGCTTTCAAAGTACTGAGCTTGTTGGTATTGGCACAATGATGTTTGCATGTCTTTAAGTTTTTTCAAATGCTGCTTTTTAATGTTGGCTTTTCTGCAACTATTTCTTTATATTTTTGCATGTAGGACAAAATGAGCTGTCTCTTCTCAAAGCTTTACTGCACAGTAGATCTGGGATTTAACTGTAACTCATTTCCTTTGAGTTTGACCTTTACCAGTGAACACATTTCTTTAGCTGTCTGCTTCTTTACAAGTGATCCCAATCACACAACTATCCACAAAGCACTTTGAGAAATAAGCATGGATAAAAATTGCCAATATTTGACCTAAAGCAAGATTGATGAGAGGCGACAGTATTAAGAAATTATATTTTGAAGAGGCTGGCTTTGGTCTTCCGTATTAGCATTGTTAAATATTTAATCACATAGTGATGCGACTGTGTATGCAATACAGTTTTTTGAGTAATAATAATTAATTGCCAAGTTGTTCATGTATTTCATCTTCTGTAAAGACTTGGTCAGTGTGATGCCAAATCAGAAATAGTTTTTAAAGAAAATAGCTGTTTTGTTTTTTACTAAATCTTAAACAATGTTTACTTTTGAGCTCAATGAGCAGTGACTTTTCTGCAGGAAACTACTTGTATCATTTGAAGCGCTGTCCTTGTTTGTATCCGCTCTATTTGCAGTAATTCTCTTCTGTACGTATGCCTGTGTATGGAGAATGTAGCTTTAGTAAACTGCGTTTGTTACTCATGTGTGATGCTTTGACGTAGTTTGAACCTGTGTCACTGTGGGGGCTGCTTTGACTTTATTATGCACATATCTGCGCATATGAATACCATTGAAACTAGAAAGGAACTTAATCGTGTATGAAGAAGACACATTATGCGAACATATTTTTAGGAGATTTTATCATGTAAAAATGGTCTTCTTGGGACAGTAGTAAAATGTTATTAATATGATGTTTCTGTTTTGGGTAGCAAACCATTTATAATAGTAATAAGTTTATAGTATAATAGGCGCATAATGTTGAGGTACAGTATGTCATACTGAGTAAGAACAAGCACAATATGTCTTCTTTTAGTTCATAATCCTGACCCTAATATAAACCTAAATACCAGAGTACGGGTGGATCTAAATAAAAGATTATGTCGCAGCAACATCCCACAGTGATTTAACAACCCTGATGTCACTTTCCATTGAGATTATTCTGCTGTCAGAAGTGTTCATATTTTGAAATGCTATTTTTAGAAACTCTTTGTAAAAAAAAAAAACCTTTTTCCATCTGTCTGGTGTCCATCCAGCGGTGCCTTGTCGCACTCATAATAATGGCACAAACACTGGGGCCAAAACAAGGACTTTATAGGCAGCATTCTGGGTCGTTTGGACCTGAAGAAAGCTCTAATAAACTGGAGGAGCGTGGACCCGAGTCACCTGCCGTGTGTGTTCGGACTGACAACACGCCTGTGTCCTTACACTGGTGGGCTTCACTCTTATGTATCGGGGGACTGGACTTTTCCCTCAGGACTGACTGAATGTTTGTAAAAAGAACCAACATTGTGCATCTTTGCGAAGCATGATAGTGACTCCAGGATGACCTCATTCACTTCAGTGTTAACATAGACTACAGTGAGTCCATAATGTAACTCTGGGCTGTCCTAGTCTTGTTTTCTTGACGTTAATACTGAGGTGAAATAATTCAAACTAATACTTGGAGTAGTTTAGTTTGAACTGACAATTTATTTGCATGATATTTTACAGATACATGTACATAGGGTGTCGTTTACATTCCCTTCACATCACACGTCTCTCCAGGACTCTTTGGGGAAAAGTTTGGGACAAAAGAGACATCTAATCAAGTGCAGAGTTTGACTTCAATGAAGCCTGGTAAAAGTGTATTGTCGGTCTTGCCGCAAGAAAAGCACAGAAGTGTTAGTTATAAGCAACATACTGCCTGAATTATCTCATTGTATGAAAAATTAGAAGAAACAAGAGTTTATGCATTTGAACAATGGGCCAATTGCAGCGGCATGGTTTGGTTTTCACAATTAATGAATAGTGTTACTTTTAAAGTTGATTTTTTGTATGTGTTTCTTTCAATATTGTAAATACTTGTTCTAATAGAGAGAATGTGAATGTGTTTGAAGCTTAACTGGGCATAATTAACTGTTTACAACAAAATAACACTGCTAAAGCTTCTACACGTGTGTCTTTATTGGATCTAAACAAGAATGTTTCAAATTGCTGATGTTATTTATTGGATGGTTTTCTCTCTATGTGCCAGTCTCAATGTCCTCTCATTTTTGTACAGAAAATGTGGAGCAGATAATAGAAGAAGGTACACTTTGTAAAGATTTTGTCAGTCACACTCAAAATGGATATTTCAATGTTTATATCTTTGGTGATTAAATGCTGTTCATATTTTTCACGTCAGCTTTGAATCCTTCTTTCTGTCTAAATGGTGATCTCCTACCAAGGTTTGAAATATTTTAGCCAAATTATATTTCAATACGCAGAGAAGAATATGTGACCACCAAAATTATTATGTGAAGGAGCTATATACAGGATTATATATATTCATGTATTTAGTAAATTGACAGCCATACCTGCACGTGAAAACCATTTCTCTTCAGACCTCTGAAGCTAAGCAAGGCAGGGTCTGGTTAGCACTGTGATGGGAGACATCTGGGCAAATCAAGTGCCACAGTGGGACGCCTGTTAAGTGCCAAACTGTTGACTAAACATTCAAATGCCACTACCTTCAAGCTGTTAAGAAATATACTCTCTTGAGGTCAACCTTTTAGAATTGTCCTCCAGGCAATTCTAGGCAATGTGGGTGAAGGCAAAACACTTCACCCACATTGCCTAGAATGAGTCTGGTGTTTTAGTGTGTATTGTTGGTAGTGGTAGAAGGGGTCGATGGCACATACTGGTTGCCTTGCTTCTGTCAGTGGGCCCCAGGGCAGCTATGGTTATTGTAGTGCTCACGGCTGTGTATGGAGTGAAAGAATGACGTCTGAGTGTCCAAAACGGCAGTATATAAAACCAATACATAACAATGGGATGTGAATTATTAAAACAAAACTAATTCAAGGTTTTGTCTACAGTAAATTCTCTTTTTAAATGATTTAATGTTTATTTATAGTCAAAGTTCAAACCAGGAATCTAACGAAGGACTATAAGCTTCCGTGCCTCTGTGCTGCCCCACACAGACAAGACATTGTCTGTGACACAAAAGGATAGTTTGGATCATTGTTTAATGACTTAAGTAAACCGATGAGGGGGAAATAAACATAATTTGAAAGGATATAAGTGAGGAAGAAAGAGGAAAGAAGCCCATTATGTCATGATAAAGAAATGGTCCTTTACAGTAAGATACCAATTTAAATATATGAGAAGGCAATCAATGTCACCACAAGTGTTTTCCAACTTCTAACTGGTGGAACACAACATTCAACAAAACATCAAACAGTATCTATTATTCAAGATAACAGATAATAAAATAAAATTACAAGTGATAAGATAATAGAACAAGCTATAATTGCACGTGGTTTGACTGTATTCAGCAGGAGGTATGTTTAAATGTTTATATTGTACTTTAGCAGCAGAGAATATGAGCAGAATTAACAATAGTATTAATAGCAGCAGGAAAAGCGACTAGTGAATTATCTAGTGAAGATGAATAAAGCGCTGCACATTCCTTCAGATTCCGATTAAGGTTACTTTATTTATCCCACCAGGGGCATAAAGTAGTCACTGTCAATGATTATATTCCAATACTAACCCATTACTAAACTATGCACAGTATTACTTCTCCAGCCTTAATAAGATATAGCTGCCCTTCTTTACAGTTGTTCCATCTCCTTTATCTGAGACATTGTTACTGCATAATTATGAGACGCTTATAATTATAAATCCCATTGTTTCTGGAGCGCTTACACTTGTTGCTAAATCTGACACAGTTATTCATTCTATGCTATTCACGTAAAGTGTCCATTATCTAATGCGGGGAGACTGTGCTACTGACTGAGGCAGCTGTCGAAAGGATTAAAACAGTGCATTTTGGGCAGATTGACAAGGGGCATAGGAGGGCTTGGAGATATCCATAGTGCCTGTGTGCATTTGTTTGGTATGTCACTCAGTACAATATCAAACAGTAGGCACAGGTCCACACTGGAAAGACGATAGGTGCATTCTACTTTTAAACTTCCAAAATCTCTGCCCAAATCTCTAGAGAGGGTTATGGGATGTTTTGGCTCCACTAAAACCACCCCCAGCTGCTCCTTTTGGGTTACGAGATATGGGCCTTCAAACAGGGCATTGTGCCTTGTTATGTGGCTTAGGGAGAATCTGATTTAGCTGTGATATCAGTGGAAACATGCTTGGCACAGCTCTTTGCATTGTTATAATACATATTCTAAAGTTTATCTACCAGGACCTCATGCTTTCACCCCTCACTAGTGGACAAAAGCAGATACGGGACAGACAATAGTGTGGGGTCCATGGGCACATCCACTCTGACTGCTCTGCTTTCCAATCAACCCTGTCAAGAATG